AGGGGACAAACAAACCAGGAAAGGGTCTTACAGGTCTGCCTGGAAAACCAATCTCTCCTTTCATCCCTGCTCGTCCCTGGGGACCCTGGAAAGGAGTGAGGATGAGGATGAAGGTGCTCAGAGGGCAGGGGCACCCCCCTCTGTCCAGGACCAGCCTCCCCCCCTTTCCTTCCCCCACGAGATGTGAGGAGGATGATGATGATGATGATGATGAGGATGAGGATGAGGATGATGATGGGGAGGAGGATGGTGATGATGATGATGCTGATGACTTACCGAGGGTCCCGTGGGTCCCCGCAGCCCCGGCTCCCCCTGCAGAGTTCAGAGGGGGGAGAGGGGCATCACCACCAGGGTGGGGTGGCACCTACCTGGTGGAGGAAGGGGGGGTGCCCCCCCCACCCCTGCAGGGCACCCACCTTGTCTCCTTTCACCTTTGCAGCCACCAGGGTGCCATCAGGGCTGATGATGACCCCGGGTTCCCCCTTCTCCCCCTGCAAGGCACAAAAGGAGGGGGACACATCCAGGTGGGTGGCACCACGGGCACCTGATGGTCAGGGAGGGTGGGGCACCAGCAAAGCCACCACCCCCCCCAGGGGATAAATGACCTGGAGAGGTTACCTTCAATCCTGGGGGGCCCTGAGGACCTGATGGACCCCGGTCTCCTTTAGGTCCCACCAGACCCTGTTGGAGAGGAGCACAGGTCACCAGAAGTTCCACCAAAACGTGCCCAGATCTTCCACCCCTGTTGCCCCCCCTCTTCCCAAGGGTGCTCTCTGGGCACTGCCAAGGGGTGGGCACGGGTGGCAAAAGGGGGGGGCACCTACCTCTGGGTTGGGCAAAGCCATCAAAGACTTCTGGAACAAAAAAGAAGAGACCAGAGGAGGTTTTGTCACCCTGATTTTTGCTCCTGGGGAGGTGACCCCCCCAGTTCTCTCCCTTGATGGGTGCTGGGCAACCTCTGCCCTGGGGTTTAGCTTCTCCTAGCTAGGGTGAGGCCAAGCACCAGCACTTACATCTTCACTGGAGATGGTGAGGACCTGTCCAGGAGGACCTGGGGGACCTGGGGGGCCGGGCAGCCCCACAGCATCTTGACCTCTCTCCCCCTGGAAAACATGAACCCATCAGCCCCTCCCCAGGGCCACCATGGGGCTGGTGGCTTGTCCCCCCCACCCTGGTGGCACCTACCTTCTCGCCAGGGTTGCCTCTGTCACCCTTGGGTCCCTGGAAGGAGGAGCAGGCAGGGGTGAGCTTCTGGTTGTGGAGAGTCCAGGAGATTCTCTCCTGCCTGCAGCTTGGCCAAACTTTTTGTGCCACCCTCCCAGCTCTGCCCTCTGCCAGGCAGAGCCAAGCTGGGCAGCTTTTGGGGTGGAGGTGGGTGGTGGTTTGATGGGGAGGGGGCTCCCAGCACCACGGGCACCCTTGGCACGTGGGCGAGCCTGGTGCCAGAGCAAGGCAATGGCAGAAGGCACCAGGGAAGGGGCTGAATTTCAGCTATTTCAGCTGCTGGGCATGGAGCTGCTGCAAAAAAGCCCCTGCAGAGATCGAGGGGGGGCTGCCTGGGGCAAAAGGGGGGGTCTTCTGGCCAGCTGAGGGGGTCAATGGTCCTACCTGTGGTCCAGGGAAGCCCTCCAGACCAGGGCGACCATCCACGCCGGGCACACCAGCATCTCCCTGCCAAGGGGCACAGGGGGAAGGGGCAAGATGCTGGATGGAGCATTCTCCTGGCACCCTTGGGTCCTGCCCAGTGCCCTCCCTACCCAGCTGCCCGTGCCAACCTCCCAGTGCCCCCACCTTTGGTCCTGGCAAGCCGGGTTGCCCGGGGTTGCCAACATCTCCCTGTGAGGAAAGAAAGGTCAGAGAAGGAGCTCAGCATCCCGTGGGCATCTTGCCAGGATGGTGCCAGGCTCCAGCAGCAAGGGGGGGTTTAAAGAGCTCCTCACCTTCATCCCTGGCAGTCCCAGCTTGCCCTGCAAGCAGAGAGAAGTGGGGCATGAGCTTTGAGAGGGTGCCAGGGGCAGGGTGGAGGGAAGGGGCAAGGGTAGAACTACCTGTGGTCCTTCGGGGCCACGTGGTCCCGGGGAGCCGGTGGCAAAGGGCAGCCCTGAGCCCTCCATGTCCCCCTAGATTTGGGGGGGGGGAAAAAAGGGGCTGAGCTGCCTCCACCCCCCACCCATCTTCATCCTCACCCCCATCACGAGGGTGGCTACTTACAAATCCAGCTTCGTAGCCCAACCCTGGAGGTCCTGGAGGTCCTGGAGGTCCTGGTGGTCCATGAGGACCAATGGGGCCGGGTGGACCAGCCAAGCCAGATTCTCCTGGGGGTCCTGGGGGGCCAGTTTCTCCTTTGCTGCCCTGCAAAAGGGAGACAAGAAAACCAAAGGGAGAGGTGAGGTGACAACCGATCCCTGCCTGAAGCCTGCAAGTGGAAGGCCTCCAAAGATGCTCCCCACATCTCCAGGGCTTTGTGGGAAGGGGCTTTGCTCATCTCCAGCCTCTTTTAGCCACCCAGCAGCCTTCAGATGGCCCTTGGCTCCCCGTGCAATGTGCACGGTGGCCACCAGAGGCTCGTCTAGAATCACAAATACACCTTTTGGGCATAAAAACCTTAAAAGGTCCTTTCCCCACCCAAACTTGTCAAGGATATTTTGGCCAAGAGCAAAGCCAAGCAGGCGTGGTGAGAACCTGGGAGCCTCCTGGGGGGGTGATCAGCAGCTCTGTGCACCCCTGAGCTGTGGCATTGCTCTAGGAAGGAGCCAAATACCATCCTCTTACTCACTGCTCCACT